TTCCCTCCCAGTTATTGTCTTTTTAAAGATGGGTGAAAAAATTGAAAAATTTATTGTAACTTTCGGAGACCCTTTTACAGATCGAGAAAGACTTTTTCAACAAAACGATCTGAAAAAACGATATGAAAAAGTCTCCGAGAATTACAATACATTTTTTGATTTTTCCCCCAAACTTTATAAGGAGCTATAATTAGGAGGGATAGGATTTTTGAATCTTATATGTGTATATTTTATTTATAATAAGAATGAATTAATATATTGTTGATATTTAGACATATTAGTGACAAAAGAGTTAATTAACGATGTAAAAGAAACTTTTGCAAAAAGTTTTAGAAATGATTTAAAAATGTTGGATAGTGATGACATGCGAAAAAATTTATTTGTTATAAAAAATAATATGTTATAAAATATATTTTTCGCTCTTAATATAGTAGCTATGTAGCTGCGGCTTTCACCTGATTCTGCTAATGAGCATAATGGTATATAATCTTGAATTTGAAATCTTGAATTTGCAGATTGTATATTGCCATAATCGGATTCGGAAGATTTGTCTCCGATCGGCGAGTTTAATAACCCAGCGAATTAAAGTAACAAACTTGTTTTTCAAAAATGCACAATATATTATTAACCGGATTATCACGGCACATCGTCTTGCAATGTCTTTAAATTCCAATTACATGTATACAGAAACGCGAGAATGCAGCGAAAAACACGTTTTGTAGTTTTGTTTATTTGATAAAAATATGTGCGTGCAATTGTAATAAGCGAAAAACGTTTTATAAGAAACTAATTGTAAAGAAACTGCAAAATATAGCGCGTGAAATTAACTAAATCGAATCAATTTATCGATAGTTTTATATATCTCGCATTTTAATATTTTTTAAATAACTTTTTGTGTTGAAATCAACATATAATATGTAAGCAAAGTAAAGGAAATCGAAAAAACTTCTTGTTAGAGAGTTAAAAATTTCATTATGATACATATAATGATTAATTTATAATTTATAATGTTAATATTCTATCATATTAATCTTTCATTATTTTCAGTTTTAATTAACATTACTAGTTTATTCGTGTTGCCAGACTTTGCGCTTCTATAGTAAGTTTATACAGAAATCACAGTTCTTTTTAAATTATATACCAAGAAAATTATAGCCGTGTCAAGAGTAACTGATGAACTATAATCTCAAACGTTACCGGTTTTTTAACTCTCGAACGATGTCTAAATATGAGTTCATCTTTAAAACGATCTGGTCTAAGCTGGATCACCGTGTTTCTATTACATATCAAATCGTGTACAGTTTTAAAGATATGTTTGTAGCCTTGCGTGCCGGAAAACACTTGAGCTTTAACGGCCTACAGAGTAGCAGACAATCGTTTGTTGCCGGCCTTCCGCGGCGTGTTGTGAAATCGTCATCGTTTACTACGCTAAATATGATAATGACGAAGTGACTGTTATTAGCGTCTCTTCATGTTGATACATTTGCGATGCGTGTATGAATAATTTAAAGCGAGTCTATCCAACACTGAGAAGAATCAGAAGAAGACGAAAAGTTATATGTAAAAACTCAAAAGTTTAACAGATATGATATCAAATATACTCTCTCATTGTAAAACAAAATTTTTAAATGTATAGACTAATAAATAGATATTTATAAAGTTTTCAAAGAAAGCAGTGTTAGATCGGATATACTTATAAGATTATTTGTTCAATCAGATTAAAATTTTTTTCACAAATAAAAATAATTACATATTGATATTTCTTATATACATATATTAAACTGACATTTGGAAATTTTTCTTTTGTGAAACAAAGTTATATTATTCTTCGATAATAAAACCTTAAAAATTGCAAGGCACGTATAAAATTATTATTGCAATGCATGTAACGCATGCATGCAAAAATTATTATTGCAAACAATGCATAAAAATATATCAATTAATTATGCATAAAAATTCAATATTTAAATCTTTAACAGAAATCACGAACGAAGAAATAAAATTTTCTACAAGAATTTTTTGTAATCAAATATCTACGCTTTCATTAGACTCGTACGAGACTCCACATTCTACACCCCACACGTCCATCATGCTGCGCGGTTCGCGCGAGACTGATTCTTATGCGGGATATCGCGAGCGCGGGACCGATGGTCACATGACCAGTAGTCACATGACCAATGGTCACATGACCAGTGGGTCCCCTGGTCACGTGATTTCGACTTCGCGCTCGCGATACCTCGCACGCAAATCAGTCTCGCGCGAACCGCGCAGTATGATGGACGTGTAAGGTGTAAAGTTTCGCGCGAGTCTAATGAAAGTGTAGATATTTAATTACAAAAGATTTTTGTAGAAAATTTTATTTCTTTGTTCGTATTTTTTATTAAAGATTTAAATATAGAATGTTTATACGTTGCATAATTAATATATTTTTATGCATAGTTGCAATAATAATTTTTGCATGCATGCGTCGCATGCATTGTAATTATAATGTTATACATGCCTTGCAATTTTTATTATCAAAGAATAATATAACTTCGCTTCGCGCACGTAATTATATTCGATTAAACTAAATGAGAAAAAATATATAAAGAGATACACATATACAAAATAGTTCTCAAACAATACAATAAATATTCGGCAAATTAAAATTATGTATACATAATAAAAATTCGGCGAATTAAAATTATATACATAATAGAAATTCGGGAATTAAAATTATGTATACATAATAAAAATTCGGCGAATTAAAATTATGGTCATAGCATCAAGCAACTATCATTGCGAAGATTAACAAATTAACATTTGTAAAATAAACTATAGAAATGATATCAAAGGAGTGCGCGAAGCGCGCGCTTGTGTTGTCTAATGAATAAAAAATCAGATGGGCATTAGCGATTCGATATCTCAGTAGTGCATTTGAATAGCTGCATAAATGCAAATATGCTGATGTGATACATAGGATAGAGATGGCCATGTATTATATTTATGTAGTTTATATATCTAGCTATATGTTTCACGTATCGGTTGAATCTATCGGTTGCTTCTGATCACACTTATTCTGACTTAATTTCTTCTAAATCGAAGAAGATAAAAAAATGTCTTCTTCTCTATTATTATGCATTATGGATTAATAAATCGCTGATAAAGCATAAAGATGATTTATGTTTGTTTACAATTGCTATAATTTTACGATTGTTTTTTAGATGCGTCATTCAAGTTGCGAAAGAGAAAAGGAATTTAATATATGTACAATATACGGAACGTCTCGCATCACTATCTCACTGCTCGAGTGTCGCCGTGTAAATGACAACACGTTGTACACGTGTGATAGCAATAACATACTATGCATCGTTAAGGCTACTACTATTTATTACAGTTATAATTTGCTACAGCCTTGATATATATTTAATATATTATTTTATAACATAATTATATTCATTATCGGATCCTGACATCGATAATGGGAGGAGGGGGCAAAATTATTTAATTAATATTTTTTGTTGCAAAATTATTTAATTAATATTTTTTGTTTCATGCTTAGCTTTTACTCCAGGATTAACAATTTTTTTTAATTTGCAAGGGAGGGTTTAACTCCCCTCTCCAGGATTCACTGGTGACTCTTATAAATTATAATGTCGAGAAATTTTAACATACACTGCAGTTTACTTTTGTTCTTTAGGAGAAGACAGGTTTCAAATTTTTGGAAGCTGAGATTGTAAGCATAAGTTTAGCTTTAACAGAAATAACAATCAGGAAAATTTAAATAATTTCAAAGTTAAAATTATACACTGTACATAAATATATATAATACAAACATATACAAAATGTTTCAGGAGGAATAGTCAGCATTCTATAAGATATGTATGATTGTATACATCGTTTTAAGCAAAAAAATTTATATAAACATGTGTTCTATGCTGAACAGTTATAAAAATACAATATATTTAGTTTTAAGAATGAATACATTCATTAACTTATTAGAATCAAATTCTATGAAATAATTATATGAAATTTTAAGCTTACAAAACATTTAAATAATTAATATTAATTAATAAACAATAATTTTAATTAGTAATAATAATTTTGTCATCCACTAAAAACCAAAAATTTTAAACTTACACACAAGATTTATCAAACGTGATTTAATGTTTTATTTGTAATCTTGTAACAGGAAACGACGAAAATTTAATATAATTATTTCATAGCATTTTTGGCTCTACTATCAAGTTATTAAATGTATTCGTTCTTAAACTTGAACGTTGTATCTTTAATCATTCAGAATAGGATACATATGTTTGTATAAGCTTTCTTACTTTTAAATGATGTGTACAATCATGTCCTAGAATGCTTTCTATATATGTATATTTTTATTTTCTCATTTCATTTAATCTAATCTAATATAATTATACACGCGCAAAGTGAAGTTATATTATTCTTTGATAATATATTCTCAAAAATTGCAACGCATGCATAAAAATTATTATTGCAATGTATACATAAAAATATATTAATTAATTATGCAATGCATAAAAATTCAATATTTAAATCTTTAGCAGAAAACAAACAAATAGAATTTTCTACAAGAACTTTTTGATCAAAACTGCACTTCTATTAGATTCATGCATAACTTTGTTCGCATTTTTTATTAAAGATTTAAATATTGAATTTTTATGCATTGCATATTTAAGTATTATATATTTTTTATGCATTGAGTGCAATAATAATTTTTATGTATATGTTGCAATTTTTAAGATATTTTATTATCAATGAATAATATAACTTTGCTTTGTCCGCGAATTATATTTGTAATTGTGTTAGATAAAATGACAAAAAAAATATAATACGTATACATTTATTCAATAATTGCTGATTTCTGATGTTATATCAAGCATCGCATATATATTTTTTGGTATGTCGAAATATTTGTTAAAAATTATTTCATAAAATTATCTAATTAAAACAAAAATAATTTAAACTTTTATGATAAAATAATTATTAATCTACATAAAAATCTTATTCATTGGCACACGGGTAAAAATATCATTAGTAATTTTAGTAAACACCAAACCAAAAGTTTCTTCATAAGAAGCTTGAAGTTCCTTGAAGAGCAAATCAGAATTCATGTTGATGAATTTATTCATTTCTTCACCTGTAATTAACGAAACATGGAAGAGTTAGAAAATAATATATGTGGAATAAATATTTATAATGTTTTGTCACATTTAATAAACTTTCTCTTTTTTACTCTTTCATTTAAATTAATAAGATTATTGTTAGATATATGATATATATTAAGCTGTACATATATACAAATTTATCACATTTTTATGGGCAAATCTCTTCTTGAAATTTTTCTTTAGATTTATGAATAATAGCAGCTTATTGATAAGAGAATAAATGCCATAGATTTTTATAATTCTTTGTCTCTTTAATGCCTCATTTTTATTATTTGCAATATTTTTATATTTGGACTTTTAATGTCACAGTTCTATCGCGGAAATGGTTTAACTGGATCTCTCTAAATAATCGATACTAATAATTCCCAAAATATTAATTCTTTCTTTTAAAACACTTTACTTTTTCATTTCTTTTGAATCACTGTATTTACATTAAATTGTTATATGTATAAATCTATAGCATTTTGTTCTTATTTATTTACAAATAATAATATTTATTGCTTTAGACATGATAAAAATATTACCTAAGAATGTATTTCCATTGAAGAGATTATCAAAGCGCATTGATATATGTTTGGGAATGAACTTGACATGATATTTAACCGCTTTCATATAAGTTTCTCCATCCTTTTGAAACTTCTCGAAATATGTTTCGTGTTTTGTTGTCATATTATCTGAAAAAAGTAAATATATTACACACTCGATTACTTTGACTTTATAATTAAACATTTGTCGTAAAATCATATTAAGTCAGAATTATGCAAATCCGATTTTATAGAAATATTATATTGTGATATTTACACATAGTTATATTGCATCTACCCTCTCCTCGCATTGGCAATAGTAGAATCTTGCCTTCAAGTTTGTAATCGGCAACGAAATCTACTTGAGGATTAAACTCTCTGACCTGAGTATTAAATTATCCCAGTCTATCCTATAAAGAAATAAACATTTTATTAATTAATTATATATATATATATATAAAATTAGTATCAATTGATGAAATATAAAACTATAAGAAACAATAATAAGATACATATTAATTGTTTAGTTATATATCATCCAATATGTCTTGCAACTAGGAATTTTTTATAAATTAATTATATTTATCATTCTCTATTTATATAGTAGAATGTTGAATTTTTATTTTAAAATATACTCATTATAAATTAAGTGTGTATATAATTTCCTTTTTTACATGCTTAAAATATGCATTTTTGAGCACATGCTTCGATTTTATACTTAAATCAAGATTAGGTAATATACAGAATACAGAATGTAGCAAAAGTTACATACTGATAATTGTAGACTTGCAAATCCTTCGTTAGTCCATGCAGCTTGACATTTCGATATTCCTGTTTAAGCGACACTGAGCCTCGAGATTCACCGATTTTCACGCTGCTGACCGCCAGCGGTTCAAGAGGTAAGATTTTGAAGTTCTTTAGACCTAAACACGACAGAGGCGCTCAATAGGCAAATTCAGTGCTTATTATATTTCAGTGCATTTCCACTACACTTTGTACGTCAATTTGCAATTTATATAACTAGTATTAAGTGACATACGCGACGCAAAATTTAAAAAACACAAATATCTAAGTTAAAATGTCATATCTATTTAAAACCTAATTGTTACTCTATTTTGGATCTGGTATTTTTCATGAACAGAAAAAATGACTCGAAGTAGTATATAATCGTTATATTTATATGTATAATACACATCTTGTTATCAATAAGCGAAAGGACACCCGAATAACTTCTTTGCTGTACACATGTAATGAAATTTATACTTTTTCTTTTAAAAACGCGAATTTTGATTGTTCATCTTCGATAAAATCATTGGAAAAAACTGTAACGAGAAGCAGTGGACATATTGTTATATACATGTAAAAAAGTGTATAAATTTGCTTATAATTTTTTGTACAAAGTAATAATAGAGTTATGAATCACGATTTCTTAAGCATATTCACTGGAGACGTTGATGTTTTATCAAGGATTTATCAATAGAAAAATATTCTAATAATTCTATATTAAAAATGTAAAGTAAAAAAATTCTGTAATTTTGAGATGGCATTTGTATAAAGTGTTATTCAATTCTATTGAGTGTTGAGAGATTTTAATCAATCATTACGTAGCCAAAAAGTGGAACGGGATAGGATAGATTGCGTAAGCGTGCGATAGTGAAAAGTAACAGTTTTACGATGACATTAAGAATTAGATAGAATTCTTGCAAGACGACTACTAGTTTACCGTGACACTGAACCAACTCGGATGAGTCAATAAATATCGTTTTTTAAGAAATAGTACATTAAAAACGGATCGTTGAAAAATAAAGCATTTTAATCAATTTAACATTAAAATAAACATTAAACAAAAAATTTTAACATTAAATTTTATAAAAGGGAGAGTTTAAAGTTTTTTTTGTTTATAATAAAGATTGATTTGCATTTTAAAGCATTTTAAAATTTTCCATCGAAAGATTATTGTGACATATAAGAGTATGTTAACATGCAATGCATAATTCAATTGATTTTACATCTTTGCATTCATAATTTAAAATTTTTTAGGAATTTAGAGAGTTACGGAAAAGAAGATGTAGAATTATATTTCCTGAATTACGTATGCGTGCAGAAAGCCGGAAAATTGCAAAGAAAATATTATAAGAATATATAATAAAATGTGCATATATTACGAGTATATTTATTTGCTTTGTAAACTCTTAATTATGCAATTTGTAAAGTTTTCCTAAATTGCAATATTTCATTTTATACATGCGTTCATGTGTGTCCGATAAGAAATAATGCATATTTACCTTTGGCCATTAAGACAACTGCATCTCTGGCGGCATCCGCGATGCATTCTAATACTTTCGGGTCTGACCTCTTGCAAAGCTTGAAATTGCTAGCTGTAAGATGGAGAGAAAAGGAGAAAAATATTGCGTGTAAGCTGTATATAACTGACTGCATTGCTGCAGATCCAATAAAAGCCACGCGCTCACTCGATCTTTAGACGGTTGTTGACTTTCTCTTTTAACCTGCACGCGTGTTAATTTCGGGTCGATGGTATAATTTTATCTCAATAATCTGATCGCGCAAGCAAAAATTCAATTGTTGATCCTGAAGGGACGTAATTTTAGCTGCCGAATATAAAACATGAATAAGCATCAATTTTAGTCAAAATGCTCATTCATGTTTTGATTAAAATAAGATGTTGCATCCGATTAAAAATTGTGCATATATTGATTTCATGTTCTTAAACACACATACAATGTGATTAATTCGAAAAATCTGTCACTTATATATAAAAAATTATTAATATAATAATAATTAATTAATATATTTTTATTAGAATCGTTATTATTATTATATATTATTACAAGAATTACTTTATAAGTGGAAATTTACATTGATTTATTAGTAGTGAATTTAGTGCTGATTAAATTTTATTTTAAATAATCTTAAAAGATCAAACACAAAAAATTCTTTCCTTTATTGAAAATATAGAATTATAGATATTTTACATTTGTTTCTATGTTATCCAATTTTATCCCGAGTTTCCAGTTACTGATTACAAAGGAATTAAAAATTGATTGACTTGTTACTCAAAATTACGTTACAAAAGAATTTTAATGATCGAGATGTATATATTAGTAAAACATTTTAATTTTGCAACATATTATAATTTATTATTAATAACTATTGCTTGCCATGTATTAAAATGCGATGATTTAAGTGATGATTGTTTCAAGCAAATTCGATTCAACGATGCAATTATGAATTATAGCGCAACATAGCTATAATTTGAAAGCGAATAAACTCTTACGCAATTATACGATAGTTAAATATTCCTAATATCACTTTTATTAACCATTAGGATTGCATCATTCATTATGATTCGATATATGTGTGTTTTAGCACAGTTGGTACAAAATTAATTATCACAAAAAATCTAATATGTAAAAAAAATGAGAGACATAAAATTAATTTCTTAACGATAAGTTAATAGTAGTACATCATATTAACATCATATAGTAAATTAATATATTCCATATTGTGATTAATTTTAGAAAGAAATAATTTATAAAATGATGAGAGAATTTAAATTATTTAGTAAAATGCAGTCAATATACAAGCTGCAAGACTTTTCTTAACTATGTAAATAATTTTTATATCAAAATAAAATATTTTTTTACAAGATCTTGCAATTAAGCTGTATGTATGTGTGTGTTTTAAATACAAGTATATATATATATGATATATTGTATATTAATATATACATTATAACTTATAGACATGCATTTGACTATGTTGTAATACAATCAAAATAGCACTATTTTTAAAAAAGATTAGAGATAGATTATTTATTTTAAATTTAGTTAAATAAATATTTTAAATATTGCAATCAAAATCGAATAAGCCATTTTATAATTTAAGAATGATTAAAAATAAACTTCTGGAAATTAGATATACTTCACGAAATAAAAATGAAAAATATTTATGTGTTTTACAATATAATGAATATATAGATAAAGCAATAAATATAAAATATACGATTTTTAAAATAGAAAAATACATATTGAAGATGTGTAATCTCGATATAATAAATGCGCAAACATGTCATTATTTATCGATTTAATCACTTAATTAATTTTTGTTTTACATCATGAGTTTAATACATTTTGAACTGACAATATATAATATATTATATTTAAATTTCAAAATAATAATTAACATAATAATAAAAATTACTCGATCAAATACATGCGTTTTTCAAAGATACACCTTCGAATAAATATATCATTTATAATACAAATAAATTTTTGAAAAAAAGATGACTTGACCTATAATATAAAAAAAAACAACGAGAAAATCAATCTGTAATTATACTTACGTAGTTCTAATGTCGTGGTTGCAACCACTGCGAACAGGAGTATGACTATCGTTTTCATTATTCCTGAAATCTTCCGTCAATGACACTTTACAGCATCAGCTGAAAGTCAAGCAACTCGGGAGAAAATGTTCAATGGTTGTTGGATGTGAACTGGGAGACATGGACAATCCAGACAGTCTATTTAAGCACCGTTCGCCCCACCATGGTCCAATAGTGGACATCGTTTGTATATACTATATATGCACGTACATATATATATGCGTTCAGGGTGAGAAAGTGGATACCTGTGTTATTATCCAGCGACATACCTATAGCATATAGGTCAGCTATCAATTGCTACGACTTATTCGCCTAAATGTCTATTTGGCATGTCAACAAGAGATAAAATTAATTCCACATAATTGTATGAAGTGAAATATTATTTAATCGTAAGTTATATAGTGTAGCTGCACATATATACAATGTGTGTATTTATTTGCAGTCGAATATAACCGAAGATTCTGTGATTTTTAATTATTATAAATTACAATATATACAAATTTACAAAAAATAATCATATATTTTGCACGTTAGATTTTAATTTTAATCACTTTTAAAATATCATCAAAATGTTTTTAAAATAGCTTACTAATTGTTTAATAAAAAATTAAAATTTCATTAAAGTTTATAGTTTTTTTATCTTATTTCTTATTGCAGCAGCAAATATATTTCGAACGTGAAGCAGTTTGTACAATTCGAGTCACTGAATATTCAGGCGTTTATTATATACTTTTAAAATATTATTAAAATATTTTTAAAAGATCTTGCTAATTGTTTCAAAAACTAAAATGTCATTAAAATTTATAGTTTTTTAAAAATCTTTTATTGCAGTTGCAAATATATTTCGAACGTGAAGCAGTTTGTATAATTCGAGTCGCCGAATATTCAAGCGTTTTTATGTAAAAATCTAAAAAGAAATTTACACGGTTATTTAAAATTATAAAAAGAATGATAAATTATGCACTATGTTGTCATAAACATCGTTGCAAATAAATTTTCTCGAAAGCATTGAATTTATAAGTTCGCATTGCATTCATAACTTTTTCATTGATTCGAATAAGTCGTAACTTCGTGAATCCAGTTTTTCGTGAAGAAAAAACAATTTATTTCTTTTGTTAGATTATATCTGACAATGAGCAGAGAAGAATTATAAATAATTCATTAATTATTATATAATAATATGATACTTATTCGAATGAGTGTATATCTTTAAAAAACGCATGTATTTGATCGAGTATTTTTATTATTATGTTAATTATTTTTAAAATTTAAATACAATATATTATAATGTCAGTTCAAAATGTATTACATCATATAATGTAAAACAAAATTAATTAAGTGATTAAATCGATAAATAAAATGACATGTTTGCGCATTTATTATATCGAGATAACAGACATCTTCCATATGTATATTTTTTCTATTTAAAAAAACCGTATATTTTATAATTATTGCTTTAATAAATTACTTTATATTATATCTACATATTTATTATATTGCAAAACACATATTTTTCATTTTTATTTCGTGAAATATATCTAATTTTTCGAGAAGTTTATTTTTAATAATTTTTAAATTATAAAATAGCATATTCGATTCTGATTGTAATATTTGAAATATTTATTTAGCCTTCAAAATAAATACTCTATCTTCCTAATCTATCTCTAATCTTATTTTACTTTACTAAGCAAAATGATATTTAATACTGCAAGAACTCGGCAATGGCCTTGACATTGTTTAGAATGGTTTATGAAATAAGTCTTTAGTAAAAGACATACGCAATATACAATTTACGAGTTGATGTAAAAAAAGGAAATAAATTTCATTCTATCGTATCTCTATGCAAATTTTAAATCAGTACCTATATTCATTAAAATGTCCAAGAGTGTGCATTAAATATTTATTTTTCTTGTTATTTTTTACGTTGCGCTTTTTCGGCAGTTTCTTTGTACTTATTTTGAAATGGATATAATAAGCATATAACTTACTCCTTTTGCATAATGCACGATAAATTTCAATTATTATACAATCGTTTAATTAGCCATATGAGTTTGATATATTGATATTAAATATTAATAAACAATATTAAATTTTATATTAAAAATTTCTCATATTTAATGCATTATATGTAGATTAGGAATTATAAAATTAGTTTATCAAATAAAATATTCATAGATATATTCTAAAATAAGTTTGTACAAATGGAGATGCTAAAAAAGCAGGTACTTGATTACATATTATCATCATTATATTACAAATAAAGTTTTAATTTAAGAGAATGTATTTTTATGCAACTATATATATATATATATAGTACAAGATGTACATCTATAAAACTTGTGACACAAAACGTTGAAATTTTCAAATCGTTGAGATAAAAATTACTTTGTTTAATAATCTAATAAATAATAAAAAAATAAAATTTTATTTCAATCAGAAACTCTTTTCTGATATTTGAGCGCCAAACTATTTAACGGCGGTCTAGCCTTCAGAACTCCAAGATCAATGCGTGGCGGTGAGAGGACAGCTTTGGCACCGTTACGCTGTAATTCGTATTACAGGTAGTCTTCTCTTGTCGCACCACATATCTGGGAAAGTAATGAATGCGTTTTTTCTGCGCCGTCACGCACGGCGGCATCGTCACTACCAAGTCCGCTTATGAATCTTGCCTATCGACTCCGGAAAAAGACGTTCGTTCAGCAGATATTGTTGCAACGATCCCGACGATCTAGACGACGCCAATGTGTGACTCGAGCCATGCGTCTCGAAATAATTCTGCTCTCGAAATTTTCTCAAGTCTTCCACTTCTTGGGCCATGGAATCGTCAATTGCGAACCATCATTATGCTTCAAACATTGGTTTCTTCGCTCGCAATATTCCGACAAATTGTACTTTCTTGCGTATTCATCTTCGTTAAATTTCGCGGCCCTCTTCGGTTCACTCCTACAGCAACAAGGACAATCTTGTTTGCGTAATTGCGTTACTCTTTTACTTCGTGGCGGCGATTTCGAGGTAGGTCTTTCGCTTGACTTTGGTATTTGCGTCTTGGATTTAATAGTCTTTCGTAATGTTGACTTCGGCAACTTTCGCGGAGACACTTGAATTCCTCTGCTCGAAGTACAGGTGACATCGTCGGATTCGCTTCGTTCGCTCGCCAGTGAGTTTGCGGGAGCTGCCGGGGATGCTGGAAATGATTGCCTCTTATCGACATACTTGTGTTCGTTCAGCAATGTTGGCTCTTCATCAGAAATATCTTGCTTCTTCGGCCTTGTTCTGTGGTGGTAACTGGATGATCGCGGACATGTTCGCAAGCGATCTCCCTCGTCTCCAGTTTGTAATTCGCAGATTTTGTCCTGCACATTGCGAAGGAATTGAGATAGAGGCGTATAATCGATTCATTTTAACTCTCCTGAATGTTTCACAGTTGATTGGCGAAGTTAGAGCAGCCTTATTATCGTCGGATTCTCTCATCGTGGATTTGAGCTCAGGTTGACTTCTGCAATGGTGACAAGGGGAGGCAAGCTTACGTGAGTTCTTGATGATCTTGCGTGCACCTTGTTCACTCATAATTACAATAACATCCTTTACCGGTTTCTAGGCGCAGATTTCAAGCATGATCTCGTGGTTTCTTAGA